CATTCGCATTTGTTTGTTAAGCATACGCAGCGTAACACGCTGAGTACTCCTACGCCTGCGATTGCTGGTAGGCGGCCCTTTGCTTATCAACCCGTTTTTGATGGCCACGCCGCTGTGTTAATGGCAACAGCAATAACAACAACAACAACAATGGCCAAAAATTGTTGGCTGTAGTGTTTCAGGCATTGCTGGCTAGCTGCCAGACTGGATAGAGGCATGCACTTTCATTAAGTTTAATTAAATTCTCACTTTGTAAATGTCAATGCACACACACACTCACACACACATACACAGAGTGAGACACGGTTAAAGATTGGGAAGGGGTTGGACTGTATCTATGCGAAAAAATGCGCCAACCTGCGCGAATTTATGGCCTCTGGCACAAGGCGACAAAAATCTCTGGGCTACAGGCGCACAAATAACAGCACGTCGTAGTTTTGCTTCATTTGCTGGCTGTTTGCAGACATTGTTGGCTTTTAATTTGGCCGGCACGCGAGGCTAAAGGCAGCAGGCACAACACCAGCCAAGCCAGTAAGCAAGACAGCCAGCCAGCCAGCCAGCCAGCCAGCAACAACGACAATAACAAGTCGGGCCTAGTAACTACTTATTATGCAACAACTTTTTATTAATTTTTGCGTATTTTTCATGACACTTGCTGTTGCTGTGGAGAGTCGTGAACATTTTCTAAGCAGCGCGCGCCAAAAAAATAAATTCAAGTCAAAAATTTTTGCCATAAACTTAACCATAAATAATTCAAATAATGTGCGCCTCAGCCTCAACTTGACGCTCAGCCTTTGCCTCTATCTCTGTCTCTCTCTTCCTCTCCCTCACCCTCTCCCTCTCTCTCCCTCTTCCTCTCTTTCTCTCTCTCTGTCTGTTTGTGATATTATTTCGTAGCTAGGATATTAACCCCAATCGCGCTTGGCACTTCGCCTAGCTTCGACTTCAGCTTCGGCTGGTTGGCTTTTTTAAGTGTTTCTTTAAGCGCCATAATCAGGCGCACCAAGAGCGCAAATATTTTAAGCGACACGCAAATATGCAAATATGTGGCATGCGCATGCATACATGCATGAAGACATATGTACATTATACACGTATAGACTACGTTGTCTGCTTGCCTCTGTATGCGACTGTGCGTGTGCGTGTGTGTGTCAGTGTGTGCGTGTGTGTATGCTGCTACTTAAGCTGCTTAGCAGCCCATGCAATCGGCAGCTAAGCAAACAACAAGCGTCAGCTCACTCACATACCCTAGGGTCACAAAACCCAATCGATGAAATCATAAATGTTGATGAGCAAAGAGAACAAAGCACACCATTTAATAATAGCAGCTGCTCTATACTATGGCACTCGCAGTATATCCAATATACATATATTGTCTCTCTCATTACATTTTGTGTCTCCTTACGATTTATATTATTATTATTATTATTAAAGCTATCATTGTCATTGTCATTGTCATTGTCATTGTCATTGTCATTGTCATTGTCAT